TGTCGCTTAGTTTAAGATCGCATCTTCCATCTGACTACCAATATTTGTTTGATTTCTAAAATTGGAATCGAAATTGAAGTGTTTGTTCACTTATTCTCCTACGTTTGTGTTCATATGAATTCAGTTTCATCAATTCATTCTTATCGATCGATTGTTGCTGATTGAATTCATCCTGTGAATCGATATTATTTAGATTTTACAAATATAAAATCGATTATGATCAAGATGTTGATTTTTGATTAAATAGAAAAGTCAAACATGAGTTCTATGGGTTGATTCAGGGAATTGAAAGTAGAAATCGTTGGATTTGAGTTGAATATGAGATTTGGATGAGGAAATCGAGTCTAATTTGGGAATTAATTTCGAAAATTCGATGTGTTCTTGTTCTGGTGTGAAAGACAGTGACATAAGTTCTTGTTCGTCACTTGAAATTGATTTCGAAATTGGAAGTCTTTGTGGAATATCGACTGGAATGAATTGATAATGGGAAGGTCGACGGCCGAAGACTTTGATGACTTGATTTCGATAATTTGAAGTCAAAGGATTTTAAAGAACGAACGCTAGACTGGGTTGGTGATATTGGGGCGATAATGAACGAAAGGTGTGTGTCGACTGAGAAGCTAAATTGATGTGGATGATTTCAATGATCGATGGCAAGTAACGAAGGGTTGGTTGGATCTGATTTCGAATATTATTGTTCTTGGGTTGATGTTGAACAAATAGACTGTGATGTCGATTTTGGAGTCAAAGTTCGACTGTATTGGTGATCGATTTGGGATAATTTGTTTTCGATGTAGTTTGTATCGGAATTCAATAGTCGAAGCTTGGTTGTTGAATGGGTTGTTGGAATCGACGATGTTAATGGCACGAGATATAAAAATCGAATGGTTGATTGATGCTGAGTAATGAAGAACGAAGGGTCAATGTTCATTTGTTTATGGGTATTGATTGGGAACGAGACGAACTGACGAACAGATGGTTTAAGACAAAAGCGAAGGTTTTGTAATTGGATTGTGGTTTGATCACAAAGATACCGATAATGAATGAAACTAACGAAAATAGGGAAGGAAATTAACGAAGTGTGTTACTAACGAAATTAGCGAAATTAACGAAACCTTGTTTTGGTGATTGGATGAATCTAACGAAGAGGAGAGAAAAAATGGGATGTGGATTTGGGATTAAAACTAACGAAGGGGAAGGAAAATCTTTCGTTAATATGTCTGTGTATTTTCGTTAGATTTGGGGAACAAGAAAACATGAAGTTACGAAAATGGCCCCTAAACTTTCGATAGTTTAACACCTTTTCCAGACTTTCGTAAGAATAGGCAAAATTCCGTATGTTTTGAACAAGTGGCAGAATTTTCGTATTTGACCCCTGAAGTTTCGACATTTTGGCAACTTATACCAACTTCGACAATTGAGGTATTTTTCGAATGTTTGGAGAACAAAGGGCAGAATTGTCGAAATTAGTCCCTGAAGTTTCAAAATTTTGGTGGTTCATACCCAAATTCGAAAAAGGACTGATTTTGCTGAGAAAGTGAAGAAAATACATTTCAGGCCCATGCAGTTTATGCGAATTGACGCTTTCTACCCAGCTTCGGAAAAAGGGGAGTGTTTCGCATATTTGGTTGTCTTGGGCGCACCGGGTCACTGCAGAATTTTGAAATTGACAATTTCTACCCAATTTTGAGAAATTTTGTCAAAAGCGGTCCGTGAACGAAACTAAAAATTGAATATTTTTTCGGTTTTCCGGATTGAAGCACAAAGTTTATACCACATGTTAAGGGGGAGTTTTGACACGAAAAATTCCGAATAGAGCACGTTCTCTTTCCTAGAAGGTTTTATAATCAAATTTCGATTATAAAAAGGGGGAGAAATTTATATGGAAATTCGAACTTGAATTTTTCATATTACGCGGATTTGACGACCGAAGTGACCTTGAATTTTTGAAGTATACGAAATGAAGCAATTGGAGATTCGGAAGTGATTTCATTTCGAAATGGGTTTGGTTTTATTGAAGATTTTTGGGGTGTGCTTTTATGCTCAACTTTTGGTGATCAATTTGGAGTTTGAGAAGCTCGTGATCATTCGTTGATGCTCGGTTTGTATGATCTCACATCCTAGAGCCCAAATTGAAGAATCATGGAAGAATTGAAGATTGAAGTTCGTTTCAACATGTGTCAGCCTTGAGGCTTGGATCGCGTAGTTGCTCGATTTTGGAAGATTTGAAGTGGGTCATCCATTCCTAACTTTGAGGGGGAGAATGTTAGGGTGCAAAGTTATTCATGTTTGACTTTGTAATGTATTGACTTTTGTAAAACCCACTTACATGTGGTATATTAGCCTTTTGACATGAGAGAGAGAGAGTGAGAGAGAGACATGTAAACACCTCTATATAAGGTAGGTTCATACCACTTGTAGAGGTGTGCTTGAGAGGTGTAAACGTGAGTGTGTAAGTGTGTGTTATTTATGTAGATTTAGATCTAGATCCCTTTTTATGTAACACCATACATATTCAATACATCTCTTAAACACCGAAATCACCATGTTCATTGTGCAATATTTAATTCCGCATGCTAAACCATGTTCAATAATCACTACACCTGGTGCCACGACAGTTTTTAGGAAAAGATAACTGACAAGACCAATTTTGACAATCTGTACAGTTTCAAGCTTTCAATTCCTTAAATACGACAATTCTTAAAAAGAAACTGCCTATCTGACAGTTTGTACAGTTTCATGCCTTCAGTTCATTGAATACGACAGTTCTAAAAGAGAAACTTCCTAACGGACAATTTGTACGGTTTCATGCATCCCATTCCTTTTGAAAGTAGTGTGAAGTGTAATTCCATCAATTCCTTTCAAGATCTCTTCTTGCACAGAAAATTCCAACACAATCTCCTTGAGTCTCTTCTTCTTTTGGATTCGCGTTTTAAGACAAAAGCAATTTTTTGAGATAAAAATAAAAATAAAATAAACTTAGCACCCAATAAAAATAACTAAGAATAAAAATAGAAGTAAAATACGCTCAAAAACAATATTTTTGGATTTTTGATTTATCTAAAAAAGAAATAAAAACAAAAATAAACATACTTTTGGAAATTTTGAATTTTATTATTTTTGTTTGGTTTTAATTCTCCCCTTAAATTTGTGCATAGAGGAGAAAGAAAGAAAAAGATATGAACAAATTTAAATAAAACAAAAATAAGATACAAAATGTACAAAAAAAACTTTTAGTCTTCAAAACGAATCGTTTTAAGAAAACCTAGGAGTATCAAGAAAATTCAAACCGTAATTCAGCAATTAAAGTTGCATCCAGATAACCTGAGAACAACAATATTTAGAAACAACAACGTATTTAGCCTCAGCTGTGTTTCAATTCCGGAACGAAGTTAACATATTCAAAATTCATCATGCCCTTAAATACGGTCCCCATTTCAGTGATGTTTTCTTTCTCCTCTCCTGCAAAGGACACATACCCTCAATTAAAGTTCTGAATGTCGTGCAATTGAGAGATGTCTCCTGTCATGTGCCTGGAACAGCCACTATCAACTAACCGAAGTCTGATGATATTCCTCCATAGTTGCTCCGGTACAGAGTGCGGGATTAGTTGGTTTTGGGAACCCAGTCCATTTTGAAACTGGGTTTACCATTACTATCTACACAAGATACTCTTTCCCATGACATATCCTGTTTATCAGATAAGAAACATAAAGAGGTTACAGGACTTTTGGACAATTTTAAAATGTGACCTTTGGGAACCCATTGGTAATTAGGTTTAATCATTTTAATGTTTAACCTAATGGGTGTTTTCAACACTTGATTTTGAAGTGGAACTACCTTTTGATTTAGACTTGAATCGCAAGTGTTAGCTAGAGGACAATCCTTGAGATGAATTCGACCACACCGATGTCGTTTTGGCTGAACCATCTCTCCAATTAGGCTTCTTGTCCGACATGCCCTTTTTGTCCTTGGGAGTTTGATTCTTGGCCTTTTTACCATTCCAATCACCATTGCGTGAATGTGACCTCGAAGGATTTCTTTTGGAAGATCTCCCCATTGGAACGTTCTGCCAACCTTGTTTATAGTAGGGAACATATGAACGATGTGGGCAATTTCTAGCAATGTGACCGAGAGTCCCACAGTTAAAACAAGTTTGTCTTTTCAAATAAATAAGATTGTGACTTGGTCCTTGTCCAAATGAAGTTTGTTTCAAAGAACTTCCACAAGCACAAGCACAAGCACATTTATTAGACTGTTTAACAAGTTTTTGTGGCTTGAATTTTTCAACAGTGGGATCATTTTCATCACAAGTGTTTGAAGCATTTTCAGTAGAACTAGAATTATTTTTGTTCTGCTTGAACCCATCTAGTACTGTTTCTTTATCTGCACATGAAGTAGAAACGTCAGTATCGTTCACATTAATACTTTTAGTGGGGCCATATTGTTCAGTCTTGATTGAGGCAGTTACAGGGGGCTGACCATATTGTGCAGGTTTTTCTATTTCTATAGTCTCATAGGTAGAAATATGATTATCATTAAAAGGAGGTGGAACACTATGATACCCTAGACTAGGGGTGGCAAATCGTGCCATCGTTTCGTGTTTTTAGCTAACACGACACGACACAAATTAATTTTACCCAACCCGAACACGACACGACACGATGTCGTGTTAGTTTTCATTAGCACAAACACGAAAAAATAAAAAAAACACGACAAAATTTAACAAAAAAAAAAACCATTTCCATAATAATGTCATCGATAATTTCTTGCAAAAAGTAAGTTTAAAAACGAAAAACGTGAACTTAATGACAAAAAACAACAAAAAATCACATCGAATAATGCTAAATATCTTCAAACTTGTCACTCCATCGCATACCACCCGATTTTGAAAAACTAAATTGTGATATGTCTGTTTTGTCCCTTTTAGGACACTTTGTGATGTGTTTTCGCATGCTACCCGTTCCAGTCCTAGTTTCACAGATGTATCTTTTTTTGCACTAATTACATTCCGCTCTTTCTCTGCCATCTTTACTAATTGGAAGTCTAGTAAACAACTTCCATACCTCAGACCACCTTTCTCTTTCCTTTTTTACATCCTCTTCTTCACCTTCTACTTTAACATCTACCTCCACTACATCAATGTCATCAGATTCTTCAAGTTCAACATCCTAAGACACAAATGCAAGCATATATTAAAAAACTTAGAAGCACAACAAGAAATTAGAAAAAAATGTGTATTAGACACATAAGCACAAAAGTAATCAGAAAAGAGTTTGTAAATAGAAAGTTAATAAAAAATTAAAATACTTGAGGAGCTACAGCTGCAAAAGCTGTGTCGAGTTTTGGCCTCTTCATATCAAAATTTAACCAATAGCCAAATCCCCTACAATCAGGAAGAAAAGAAAAAAACTATGAAATATATGTTGTACATTTGTGTAAAAGACAAGAAGCAATCTAGAAAAAAGTATGTAATCAGATACAAAAGAAGAATATTAAACACAACACACATTAATAAAAACGTGTACAATCAATAGCTATATCCCATACAATCGGTAAGAATAGACAAAAAAAACTGATAAGTTCTGTAGTTGCAAACAAAGATTAAGTATAAGTTCTATAGTAAAATATAATAAAAAACTAGAATCAAGAACATGAAACAAGAAGAAGAGAAAAAAAACTGGAATCAAGAACATGAATCAGGAAGAACAGGAAAAAAGCACATAACTTGATTTCTTATAAAACTGTTTAAGAAATCAAATTAAACCACTGATTAAAAAAACGAGAATGATAGAGCATCAAATAAATACAAATATGTCTCAAGAATCGATTAAGAGGAAAAAAAACTGAGTTATATAAGATCTTATCGGTTTAAGAGCAAACTGAGAATCGTTTAAGAACAAGATTTTAAAGAAGTTATTATCGATTTAAGAGCACATGAAAAAAATACCTTGATTGGGATAAAGGTTAAGAGAAACGATTAACAAGGAAGCTTAAGACTTCAGTGCTTCACGCCTTCACTGTCTTCACTTGTTTCGATCAGCAATGGTGATTCAGGTAGGCTTTGTCAAATACAAATGCGATCGCTAAGAACTGAGAAGGTATTGGAAAATTAGGGTTGATTTGGATAAATGTTAGAGCAGATATGTGCGATATAAGGGAGAATTGGAACCCTTTAATACAATCGATTGAGCGTAGTGCCATTAACAAATCTATCAATACATGTATGGGGAAGGGAAATTGACGATTGAGTTTCCGGTGCACGCTCGTCAATTCTCAAAGGAGCCGATGAAACCTTTTTTTTGAATAATTATATTATATGCTTAAAATATAAAACTTATTATTTATATTATTACAAAAACAAATTATCGTGTCAATATCGTGGTTTAATCGTTTTAAAATCGTGTCATATTCGTGTTTAAAATCATGTTATATTCATGTTTAATTTCGTGTTGTTATCGTGTTATTATCGTTTCGAATTACAGACACAAACACGACACGAAACGATGTTGTGTTTCTTTTACACGACACGAACACGAATTCGATTTTTTATTTCGTCCCAATTTCGTTTCGTGTCGTGTATTTTTGTCGTGTCGTGTCGACTTTTGCCACCCCTATCCTAGACCATTTTTCTAGTTATCTTTCCATTTCAATTGTTTTTCTATCATAGATTCAACTATCTCACTTGACACATCAAATTTCTTAAAGTTAAATTCATTATCTTTAAATTTAGATTTTAACGCATCAAGTTCGGCAGTTAATTTGGCAATTTCCTCCTTAGCATAATGATGGTGAACACATTTGGTGCTATATTCCTCCCTAATCCTAATTAAATCTTTATTTTAAGCATCTAGTTTTTCTTTAAGAGGCTTATTGACTTTCTTAATTTCATAAATTTCATTTTTAAGGTTAAAAACCTCTCTAACTAATAATTCATTTTGTTCACGGTATTTATTTATTTTATCTTCACATGATTGAGAGCATGAGGTTTTACTTACCTCCTTGGTGATTGAACTGTTGTAAAAGATCATTATTTATCAACATTAAAAATTTGATCGGGTAATTTTATTTTGACTGAAGACCAAAGGTAAACGCTCTTTGACCGAAAACACCAATAGTCAACACCCTGTTGACCGAGAACCTTGAAAGTTAATTCTTTGTCCGAAGAGAAACCAGACCGAGAACCTTAGCAGAAATCTCAATAACCGAGAAGCTAAATCGAAAATACGGAGCCAATAACGCAGACCGAAGACGTTGACCGAAGACCCGAGAAGCGAAGCTGACCTAGCCGAGATCGCAGAGTCGCCGCCGAGAACTCTGAGGCTGAGACCGAGAGCTCTGTAGCTGAGACCGAGAGCTCCGAAGTTGAGTCTGAGGAGCTGCCGAGAGAATGTGATTTCAAAACCTAACCGAAATCGATCAGTTGGCCGCCGAAGACTCCTAAACCTAACCGAGAACTTTAATTTTGCCGCTGAGAACTCCGAGGGTTGACCAAAAACGCCCAAAAACACGAAATTGGTAATTAATTAAGACCAATGTCGATCAAATTCTCTAATGTAGTGAAGAACAGCAACAAAAATTTTCGTCAAATAGAACTTAAAAACACCAAGAAAAGCTCCAATAAACGGTTAAAATTTGGTCAATTTGATTGATACCAATCCTTGCTCTGATACCAATTGTAAAACCAGATCCAATGTATCAATCGAAATCACTAGAATTGGTGCGGAATCCCAATCTAATGATTAACGCAAAACAGTTATAATGAGTTATGAACACAATCATAAATCTTCAATGCACACTATATTGATCAATAGTCTAGTGCATAAGATCTCTATGTTTCTCGATTCTGTCTATCTCTCTCTGTCACACCCTCAAACCAAGGATGGCGGAAACGTCCGGGGGTGGAGGACTTCATGTATAGTATCATAACAACGAGTATAATAGTGCTCAAAGTAAATACAACCATCATAAATATAATTAAAAAGGTTACACCATAGTATATGTTTACATGTTTCAAAATCAATTACATTATGATGACAAAATAAATTGTTTGACAATTTATCGTCCCATCCTCAAAGTGCTGATGTTTTCCTGTTTCACTGATTTCCTGAGAATACAAGTAGTTTTGAAAAAGTGTGTCAACAATTAAGTTGGTGAGTTCATAAGAGTTTTGTTTGAGGAAGAAACCGTTTTCCTTGTAAAAGCGATAGAGTATGTTTTCCAGGATATCCAATATTTTCTTAGTTGAATGTGGAATGAATGCTCCTATGTTATGCGATAATGAACTCTAGAAGGACCCATAGATTCCTTCTATGATCACTCAACGTATATTAGTTATATATAATTTGAGTTAAATAAACCGTTGAAGTCTAACAATTCTAGATGAGATGTAGTGTTATAGAAATATGTTTCCAAAGAAAATCCAATATTTTCCTTATAAAAGTGATGTAGTCCTAAATCCCAGGACCGAGAATGTGTGTGTGTGTGTGTTTTGTACTTATAATGTTCATACTAGTAATGTCTTTCCAAATAAAATCCAATATTTTCCTCATAAAAGTTATGTAGTCCTAAATCCCAGGACCGAGAGTAAACAAGTATTTTTCCATACTTAACGTAATTCATGCAAGTTTAAATCGACATAAACTCGTTTAGTTTAGAAGTAAAACCCTTTTTCAAAGTAGAATTTTCCATGTAAACTTGAAAGATTGTTAACTACCTATGTGAGTCGCTATAACCATACTATGACGAGAAATAACCTGCACAACGTTTTTCAGACGTTAAGATACTATGACTCTTGTCACCTGCAGACCTGCCGGTCCGGCTGTAGCTAGCAGCGAGGTGTGGGGTGTCAATCCCAATATGGATCTATACACAATTATCACGCTCTCCCTACAAGAGACTCTGGTTATAACTTACAGGAATTGGGATCCCGTACTCGAACGTACGGGGAGAGAATCGCCTCACAACCTAAGTTAACTAGTTTACACATAGTTTGATATTAAAACCTCTTCCGTGGAGGAAGTAAAATCACCTTTTCTGAATAAATTAGTGATATGAAATCCTTAAACTATTACTATTATAGTTTATCACGTAGGATATGAAAAACCCATTTGTTTTGAGAGTAAAACCTTTTTCATGTAGTATAATCCATAAACTATGCTTATTGAAGTTTATTATATGTGTTCGAAATGAATGAGTAAACCTTATCATGAATGACTAAATTTCAGTCTATGATGATAAACTAACAAGAAAATACTTTCAAGATTTTGAACTTATGGTTATACACTTTGCTCAACATACTACAAAGTGTTATGAAAGCTGTAAGTTGTTAACTAGTTTTTAACCCTTCTACACTGTTTTAGAGAAATTATAGAAAAATCATACGAAGTCGAAAACTGAATCCATAAATTCTGAGAGTTCAAAAAATGTGTCTAGTTTATTCATAATTTTTATTATAATTTTTGAAAGTCTTTAACTTGTGTTAAAATGTTCATATTCACAGACTGGTCCGAATTCGTTTCTGAAATGATAGACAGTTTTGTAAAAATCACCATATATCGTAGAAAAATTGTATGGAGATGTGCAAGTAGTAATTTTAAAGGTATGAACCTGAACTATGTGCACCTAATACAATTTTGAAAACTAAAATGTTTAAGTTCACCAAAACAGTCCGTGAATGGAGTTAAACTTTTCTGATGAAAGCTGTTGAATGAGTTTAGTTGTGTTCTTGGTGTTTAACTTGTATTCCCCCCCTTAAAACTTAAGAAAAAAATGAAAAGATAGGGGTATGAACTCACCTTGTGTGTTTTCAGTGGGTGGATGTTGGAGAGAGGTAGTGTTCAACTCAAGAACACTAAGAAGATGCCTTGAAGGTTCGAAGATCTAACATGAATGTGATGATGTTTGTGTAAGATATCTATGATTTGAGTAGAAGGAAGTGAAATAATCACAAGGAGGATAATATCACTTACCACCAGTGAAAGAAAACTTGAATGATCAGCCCTTGAATCTCGAATTTGAGAGAGAGAGAAGTGAGAGAGAAAGGTGTTTGTTCTTTGGTGGAAATGAGAGAAATGAGAGAGGAGAGATAATGATTCTATCTTTTGTTCAAGTGTATGGCTAGAAGAAAGTGATGGGAAGGACGATGGAAGTGACTAGGTATGGTGGAAGGACAATGGTTGGTCATGGAGTGGGCATGGGGGTGGTTGCTTGTGTCGTACACTAAGGCATAGTCAACACTCCACCACAAGATCTTACTTAATAGATTTTCATTCTTAAATAAGGATTTCCCTAAAAATATGCTTAATTTATGAATATATGGGGTCTTATATGTCAAAATATAAGTTTGGGTGAAAATC